TATGGTAGTCTTTATGGTTTCTAGAAGATGCTGCCTGAATATGAATTCTCGAGTGATGTAAGTGTACACAGAACCAATGAGAGCCAGGGGTTGGCTGCACCAAAAGGCAGTAGCTCATTTGTTGAGTTGCAAATTAAACTAAGAATGCCACCAACTCTGGCTCTGGTGGCTCTGCTTACACTGCTGCAAAGCTTCTCTGTGGTCTGTTCTACAGAAGGGCCACTTCTCTTTCTCCATCTGCTGAAAGCTGCAATCAGGGCTGCCCCCCAAAAATGGTCTCTTCAAAGTCTCTGGTGGCAAATATGGTCTCCTGCGCCCACAGCAGTGTGACAAGCAGCCCTCTGTGCACCTATCAGCAAGGCAGTCTGGAGGCTTGAGTTAGGCAGCTTATTCATAAGTTTAGATCATCTTGATTAGAAATGTTGTTCTAGAACATTACAAGGCACTCTTTGAAGCCAGTTGATGAAGCATCTTTTGGCACTTAGCAGGTGATAGATGCTTCATAGCTTTAGTGTTAATGGTGGCAACTGTGCAACTAATACCCAAACATAATGTAATGTCAGCCCCGTCATCCTTCTCTCCTTGACATTTTCTGAGAGATGAACATCAGTGAATTGGCAGACTGTACAGTCCTCAGCTCACATTAGTGGCGAACTTCTGCTTGTCATCATACAAGGAGGATGGCTAGGTATTGGATTCCATAGCATTTAACATGGACAGAAGGATGGTTTTCTGTTAGAGACCACAGATAGTCACCTCTTGTAGTACCTTATATTTATTTGTACTGAAATATGACTTTTTTAAAAAAGTAGCACTGCACTGTAGCACTGTCCTCCCATTGTTCATCAGTTTGCTCGAGCGGGCCAGTAACGTCTCCCTTGTGAGACTTGTTACTGTTTGGCATATTAAATATGTTACAGATAGCTTGCCAGGCTTTGCCGTGCAGGTGAGATACTCTCAGTAGCTCTCCAGGCTCTCCGAGAGGGACAGAGGAATCGAAGCTGGGTCAGCTTTTAAAAAAGTAATAAAAAAATTAAAAAATATTTACAGATGGCACAACTAGGCAAGCTTGTGGTGGCAAGACATCTCTAGTACCATCTTTGGTGACTCCATGAGGATGATTAGCTTCAGGGCCAGAGAGATAGTACACTGGGTAGGGCATTTGCTTTGTATATGGTTGACCCGGGTTCTATCCGCAGCACCACATTATTGTTCCCTGAAATGATCCCTGAGCACCACCAAGTGTGGCCCCCAAATAAAAACAACAGCACAATTTTGGCTTTAGAATAAGGACATTTCACCTAGATGAGATGGCATGGCGGTGCATTTTAAGTATTCAAAAAATTATCTCCTAGAAAAGAATGTGTGTTTTTAGAACCCCTGAAACCACAGAAGGACCAGCAGATGACTATCACGGTGCGGCCTATTGTCACACAGTTAGGAACAAATTCAGATGGTAGATCGCATCATCAGTGAGATGGGAGACTTGACAAAACTTTCTCCTCAGCAGCAGCAGCAGCAGCATATTCATTTCCTGCGGACCTCACCAGGACTGTGTTGTCTGAGCACTGCCATCTCCTCCTGTACTTGCCTTTGAGGTCCTTCACTTCAGAGAGGCCAGTGGAGCGCAGCTGAGAGTGTGGCTTCTTTATCCCTCCCAGGGAGGTGGCGAAAATCATCTCTCCACAAGTGCCCGACAGACTTGGCTGTTGGGTTCTGGCACCCTGCTGGCTGGCTGGCTGCCTGCCTGCCCCAAGGTCAGTCCCTCTGCTCACAAACATGAGCGCTATGAAGAGGCCAGGTAGCCATCGTTGAAATGTGGAGAGCTCAGTGCGGATGTGCGCAAAGCCCCCGGATTTCTATGGAAATCGCCCTGGAGGTAGGAATTCAGAGTCCAAGAATTTTGGGTAGAAAAGGCCTCTAGGGGACCAGACTTCATCCTGAGCTTATAGACATCTCCCTTGTTAGGAAACAGCCTGCTCACTCTTTACAATAGCCAGATTCTGGAAAAAAACCTGAATGCCCAAGAACAGATGACGGGTTAAAGAAACTTTGGTACATCTACACAATGGAGTACTATGTAGCTGTTAGAAAAGATGAATCATGAAATTTACATACAAGTGATACTACATGGACAGTATCATGCTAAGCGAAATGAGTCAGAAAGAGAGGGATAGACATAAAAAGATTGCATTCATCTGGGGCCCATAAAGTAATAAAATAGGAGAGTAATACCCAAGAATAGCCGAGATCAGTACCAAGAGGATTACTCCATGGCTTAGAGGCCAGCCGGGCATGCTAGGGGAAAGGGCAGCTCAGATAGAGAAGGGAGCACCAAATAAAGGGTGTTGGGAGGATCCTCCCAGCATGGGAGATGCATGTTGAAAGTAGACTATGGACCGAACATGATTGCCACTCAGTGCCTCTTTTGCAGACCACAACACCCAAAAGGAGAGAGAGAACAAAAGGGAATGCCCTGCCACAGAGGCAGGGTAAGATGGGGGGGATGGGGGTGGGAGGGATACTGGGATCCATGGTGGTGGAAAATGGGCACTGGTGGAGGGATGGGTATGTGATCATTGTATAATCAAAACCCAAACACAAAAATTTGTAAGTCTACAATTGTACCTCATGGTGTTTCACTAATAAAAATTAAAAACAAAAAAACAAACAAAAAACCCCAGCCTGCTTCATGAACACAATTTCTGGCTCCACTTCTTCATATACTTGAGGTCAGCTTGTTGGGTTTTATAACTGGCAGGGCTGGCTTTTGTCATTCTCAGAATCTCAGTCTACAGTTACACTTTATAATGAGATACGACACCAGCCCTTTATGAGCTCTTGCTGTATTTCAAAATGTGTTTGAGGTGTTGCACTTACTCCAATCTGGAACATATGATCGCAGGTCTTGGTGAGAATCTGTTTTTTCACTCATTGGAGATTGAGCAGGGGCCCTGCAGTCACACCATTATCATTTAATCACTTCTGCCAATTCTTGCTCAGGTCTTCCAGTTAATTCTTAACTCTTCTGAACCTGTTTCCTCCTCTGTGGAATAGAACTGCTGAAGGTACCATCTTTGGCAGCTCTTTGAGGATGAAGAGAATCAACACATGGACTCTGGCACAGAGCCCGGCGTAGAAAAACCCTCCGTAGGGGCACTACAGCCACTCATCTGTTCTACATCATATTTTGGTCCTAATCTGCTTCAGAGAACTGAATAGCATAGAGAATACAAGCCTTTCCCTTAAAGCTCTCAGGATAGAGTGGGTGGACTAGAGCCCAATTGTATGCCAACTGCCACAGCCGTGTGGGCAGAGCGTGTGGAAGCCCCGGTCTGCGTCAGAACTCAGGTTCCTTCCACAAGGGCCTGACTAAGGCAGCTCATGTCCTGAGTCTGAATGCGCTTCTTGCTGTGCAGGTGTTTGCCTCTTTAGAGGGAAATAGCTTACTCTGTTTCAGGATGAGTCGCAAGCCTGAGCTTTGTCTCTTTCACACTGTTAACTTTTTTCTGCCTATCTCTTCCTGTCCTCCTTCTGCTGCTTTTTAATTTATTTTTCTCCTTCTGCTTCTTTCAGGAAATGCTGATAACTGGCTCTACTCAGCCAGTCCTCGTTCCTCTAGAGGACCATGGGAACCTAATAGGAATTGCCCAGCAGAGAGATCTTACTTTAAAAACACAAAACAAAACGTGACCAGGGGCCAGAGAGATAAAACAGCGGGCAGGGTGCTTGTCTTTTTGGCTACCAACTCGGGTTCACTTCCTGCCTTATCATATGGTCCGCTAAGCCCTGCAAAGAGTAATCCTGGGTGCAGAGCCAGAAACAAGCCCTGAGCACTGAGGGATGTGTTCCCCCAAACCAAAACAAGAATAAAACAAAAAATGTGAACAGGGGCTGGAGAGAGTACTGCAGGTAATGATGCCTGCCTTGCATGCTGGCCTGGGTTTGATCCCTGGCACCCTAACTGGTAGTTGCGTTCTATCAGGAGTGACCCCTGAGCAGAAAGTCAAGGAGAGCATTTTGGGGTTGGCCCCCTGATAACCAAAAAATAACCAGATGATGTAATGGTTCTCTGTCAGTGTTGTTTGTATGTTTCTTAAACCTGAGACTCTCACTTCCCTGCCAGAGGTTGTGACTTTGGACTTAAAAGTACTTCTGAGCTTCTTGATCTATACACACACACACACACACACACACATACACACACACACACACCCCACATGCATGTACACACGAGATTAAGAACTATATTCATTTGTTTACATTAAAAAATCCCTGGAGGTTCCCATCCCCCATGTCTAACATGTTCTGGTTGTTCCATAATTGGACAGTGGCTAATTGACCATAATAACAACTAGTTTCCTTCGGCTAAAAATATTAAGGGAGTAACAGAGTCAAAGCATACGTTTGTCAGCAGTGGTTAAAGATATAAATACTGAGGGTTAAAGAGTTAGAAGTATATTCAGCATAAAATACAGGAAGAAATATATCAAAGAACTATTTGAAATAACACATGGATACTTTTTTTTTTAATATGGGGGCTCACATCCAGGAGTGCTGGTGTGGGGCACTCCTGGCTCCGTGCTCAGGGGTTGCTTTTGGCAGTGCTGGTGGACTCTGTGGGGTCAAGGATGGGACCCCCATCTGTCTCCAGCTCAACATTAGGATACCTTTTCATTCTGTGGGTTTTTTGTTGTTGTTTTGGGGCCATAGCTGGCGATGCTCAGGGGTAACTCCTGGCTCTGCCCTCAGGAATCACTCTCGGTAGTGCTTAGGGGACCACATGGGATGCGGGTTGGTGGGGGGGATGGAACCCGGTCCAGCTGCGTAGAAGACAAGCACCCTAACCTCCAGTACTATTTCTCCAGCCCTGGATTTTTCTGTTTTGGTTTTGTTCTGCCTCTTTGGTGTCGGTTTTACCATTATAACTTCCAATAGACCACTCTTAAGTGTCTGCCTACGTAGCGTTCCAGCTTCTTCTTTTGTGTCTTCCTTCTCAGCTTACGGAAAAGTGTTTCTGGTCCGTAAAATAAGCGGCCACGACGCCGGAAAGCTCTATGCTATGAAAGTCCTGAAGAAGGCGACCATCATCCAAAAGGCCAAAACCACGGAGCACACCCGGACGGAGCGGCAGGTCCTGGAGCACATCCGGCAGTCCCCGTTCCTGGTGACGCTGCACTACGCCTTCCAGACGGAAACCAAGCTCCATCTCATCCTAGGTGAGCACCCGCCATCCGCCATCCAGGGAACTTCCACCCATCCTCACCTGGGTACCCGGCTGCCTCCTCCACCACCAAAAGGAGCTGCCACGCCCGCCCCTTCCGCATCTGCTTCCAGGGCAGCGCACCTCCCTTCCGGTGCCCTGAGACAGGTTGCATTGACTTTGCAGGGAGCTGCTCACCTGCCTGGACCAGGCATGGGGGTGAGAGGAGGGAGAGCACTTGAGTGTGTCGAGCTTTGCTTTCCTGGTAAAAACCCGAGCATTTTCACAGAGCTTCCTGGTGCCCCATGGGTCATTTCCAGACAGAGCTGGAGCATGGCCCGGGCCACCTTGCTAACTAGGATGCTTGGCAGAGAAGTTGTGCCATTTCCTGCTCCAGCCCAAAGTCAGTAGGCGCAGCGCTTGCCATCTTTCAGTAGTTTGTCGGTGATGGGCCCCTTGTGACCATTTGTGCTTTTGCACTCTTAACTCCCAGTTATCAAAACGTTGTGGGGAGCTGATGAAGCAGAACTTTACTGAGTGCTTGGTAAGCATCAGACGTTTCTTAAGCCTGCAGGATGCTAATGCCCCAGTTTTAGGCTCTCCACTGTATCACTGACCTTCACAAAAATGCTGCCAGTGGCCCTCTCATTGGTGATGTAGAAGGTTCCAGAAACTATGTTCCTAAAGTTATGGGTGTTATGTAAACTTGAAAATTCAGATTAGAGGGTAAAAGAGATGGTACAGTGAATGAGGGCTTGCTTTGCATGCGGCCCACCTAGGTTCTCAGTCCCTGGCATCCCATATGGTCCCCTGACCACTGCCAGGAGGGATCCTTGATCATAGAGCCAGAAGTGAACCCTGAGCACCACCGGGTGTGGCCCCCAAACAAACAAACAAACAAAAAAATATATATATATATTGCAATTCAACCCAAGATAGGTTTAGCTTTTCAAAGGATCCTTTGTATTCTTTGATTTTTGTAGTATAGGCAATTTTTTTTCTATGCATATGTGGTATTCTTATTTAGAGCTCTCATTTTGGGAGGGGAGAGCTATGCTTACATATCTGTTGTATGTTGAGTGTGCACTTAGCCAAACTCAGAGCGCTCATTTTTTAAATTATGCTTTTTTATTAAAATTGTACACACCTTTTTTTTTTTTTGTCAGGGTAGGGTGACATTTGGGCCACAACCTATCGTGCTCAGGAGCTACTCCTGGTTCTGTGCTCAGGGGACTGTGTGGTGCTGGAGATTGAACTTGGGGTCCCAGTGTGCACAACACATGATCCAACCTTTGGAGCTGTCTTCCTGGACCAGTATTCACTTTTCGAAGCATGCCTCAGGTTCATTTTATAATACTTAAAATCAGCTAAGAATCCTTAGCCTTGGGCTGGAGCGGTAGCACAGCAGATAGGGCATTTGCCTTGCATGCGACAGACCCGGGTTTGATCCCCAGCATCCCATATGGTCCCCTGAGCACTACCAGGAGTAATTCCTGAGTGCATGAGCCAGGAGTAACTCCTGTGAACTAAAAACCAAAAAAAAAAAAAAAAAAAAGAATCCTCAGCCTCCTATGCAGGTGATTGCGGGCTCTCCTGTCCTGTTAGAGTCATTAATCTTATCATCTGCCTTTTGTTGGGCTGGAGCGATAGCACAGCGGGTAGGGCGTTTGCCTTGCACGCAGCCAACATGGCTGATCCAAATTCGATTCCTCCGCCCCTCTCAGAGAGCCCGGCAAGCTACCGGGAGTAGCTCGCCCGCACGGCAGAGCCTGGCAAGCCACCCGTGATGTATTAGATATGCCAAACACAGTAACAACAAAGTCTCCAATGGAGACGTTACTGGGCCCACTCGAGCAAATCGACAAACAACGGGAGGGCCTTTACTTTACTTTACTTTACCAATAGCACAGCGGGTAGGGCGTTCGCCTTACAAGCGGCCAACATGGCCGACCCGAGTTCGATTCCTCCGCCCCTCTCGGAGAGCCTGGCAAGCTACCGAGGGTATTCGATATGCCAGACACAGTAACAACAAAGTCTCCAATGGAGACGTTACTGGGCCCGCTCGAGCAAATCGACGATCAACGGGAGGGCCTTTTACTTTACCAATGGAAGAGACAGGAAAATAAAAATTAAGAAAACACGAACATGGCCTGGAGAGCTATTACAGCAGGTGGGATGCCTTTCACATTCTGGACTCAGGTTCAATCCCTCACATCCCATGTTGTCTTCTGAGCACTGCCTGGAGTAATTCCTGAGTACAGAAACAGTAATAAATGACCCCTGAGCATTCTTGGGTGCAACCCAAAAACAAACCGTCACTGTCACTATCCTCACGTTATTCATCGATTTGCTCGAGCAGGCCCAGTAACGTCTCCATTGTGACAGTTGTTACTGTGTTTGGCATATCGAATACTCCACGGGGAGCTTGCCAGGCTTTGCCGTGCGGGCAAGATACTCTTGGTAGCTTGCTGGGCTCTCGAGAGGGGCGGAGAAATCGAACTCAGGTCGACCATGTTGGACACTTGCAAGGCAAATACCCTACCCACTATGCCCTACCCACTGTTCTAGCTCCCAAAAACAAAAAGAAAAAGAAGAAACAAGAGCTTATTTTCACCATCCTGCCTGCGTTCTGCTTTGTTTTTCCTTCTATTGTCACTTCCTTCATGATTTTTCTGTTTGTCTGTGTCCTTGTGTTTTATTAAAGGAGACTATACTGTTCATTTAATTCGTAGCCTTCCCCCCCTGCTCCCCATCTCCATTGGTGCTCTCTGTCTTTCTGGAAAGCAAAATTATGGTTCTCTTAATATCCAGCGTGTCTTAATTATGTATCGCAGCGTATCAAACCACTGTAAAGTGTAGCTGCTTAGTGATTTGTTTTCTCATGATTCCGGGCACTTCTCTGTTGGTCTAGCCTGGTCTCCCTCCTGTGGTGGTCACTGGGCGATAGGGCTGCACTTGATGAGCCAAGATGGTTGTCCTTGGTGATCTGTGCCTGGGTGATGTGTCCGTGGTGCCGACTCAGCCATGGGGCAGCCCTCTGTCTCAGACAGTGACACCAGGGCCTTCTTTCCCTCCCCCCCGGAAGCACAGCAGCTTTTTTCCAAGCATGGGAGGCTCAGGGCAGCTCACAGAGGCTGACAGCAGGGCAGCAGGTGCTCCTGAGGCCAGGCCCTGGCACGTAACACAGGCTCCCTCCCGTTGCATGGCCAAGCCGGGCTCAGCAGATGGGGATCTTGACTCCCACAGTATCAGTGGGCCTACCTCACACAAGCCCACGTTTGGATGTCACTCACTGTCACATCCCACCCTTCCCAGCTGACTGGTCCAACAGGAGGCGTTCTTTGCACCCTCGTCTGGTTCCGTCCTTGGTGTCTTTAAATCTGGAACATTTTCTTTTCTATATCCTTGGCTTAATTGTGGGGAAGAGATCCCAGGGTGTCTGGCAGGCCTGTTCCTTTCTGGAAGTCGAGCAGCTCAAGATGAACTATCGATAGGTTGACACCTTCTCACACGGCTCTCACAGTTGCTGCCACTCTGGAACATTATACCCCACAGTCATACTACGTTTACTTCCCCGTCCCAGCGCTCGGAGCCTCTCCTGTTCCTTCTAGGCCTGCCCACAACGTTGCTATTGGTCCTTTCTGGGTTTTCTTAGTCCCAGAAGTGTTGCTGTTGGTCCTTTCTGGGTTTTCTTAGTCCCAGAAGTGTGTGGAAGGGGTGGGTTATGAAGGATTCGAGGCACTGACTATTCTTTAAGGTGCTCTGGAGGAACTGTAGAGGGAGCACAGTGGGTAGGGGGCCTGCCTTGCAGGCACTCCACATGGTCCCTGAATCCTGCCTAAGGTGAGTCCTGAGCTCAGGAGTATGCCCTAAGCATTGCCGGTGTGGCCCACAAGAAAGCAGAGATGTTTTGGAAGCAGGTGCAGAGGTTCGGGTCTGGGTTGGGAGTCAGGGCTGACTGGAGTTCCTTCCTTCCTTTCCTCTTCCATCTCCAGCACCACACCCTCCACCCGAGTGTCCATTTCCTCCCACCATCATTCCTGTGTCCCATTCTCCCCTGTAGTGAGCGTCCTCCTGGAACCCAGGTCTCAGTCTCTGTTTCTGTGGTGCACCTTTTCCCCCCACTACCCTGTTTCATTATATATCTCTACACTGTCACTGTCACTGTCCTCCCGTTGTTCATCGATTTTCTCGAGCGGGCCCAGTAACGTCTCCATTGGAGACTTTGTTGTTACTGTGTTTGGCATATCGAATACGTCACGGGGAGCTTGCCAGGCTCTGCCGTGCGGGCGAGATACTCTCGGTAGCTTGCCGGGCTCTCCGAGAGGGGCGGAGGAATCGAACTCGGGTCGGCCATGTTGGCTGCGTGCAAGGCAAACGCCCTACCGCTGTGCTATTACTCCAGCCCTATATCTCTACACATGAGAGATTATTCTGTGTCTGTCTCTCCCCTTCTGGCCAACTTAACTCGGCCCTGGAGATTTCTTGACAAGATTTGTTCCTTCAAGAGGAAATTTGCTTGGTTAGCACAGGATTTTCCAAATGATAAGCTCATTCACAGGCGTCATTAGCTTGTCAGGTGCTTACCTCTGCCACCTGCCAGGTCAGAAATAGTGTTGCGTGCGACGTGGCCCTTGTGACATGCTTTGTCACCTGTGACTGCTTTCGTTCAGTTGTATTGTTCTTGCTCCCCTCCACATCTGAGGCCGCCACTTTCTTGGTAAAACAAATAATTCCAGTTGTGAGGGCCTGTAAATAAATAGGTTTGGAAGGACTCCAAAAATGTGATGAAAACAATGAGAGGCCAAACATGTCTCCAGGCTTCACTTAATCACTTAACTTAACTTCCCGTTAGTCGTCGATTTGCTCGAGCGGGCGCCAGTAACGTCTCCATTTGTCCCTGTCGCGTGCTAGTGTAGCCCAATGGCATCTCTTCGCTCCGGGAACATGGAGGGCCTCAAACCGATCGTTCATGACCTTGACAAAGAAGTCTGACCATCTGGTAGGTGGGCGGCC